GGAAATGTGCTCTTTGTCGTCCTTCCCGGCTGCCTGCACAGGCACGCCTGAATGAACCGAAAAAAAATGCTGTCCACTGGTCTCTCTCTCTGCGTCTCTGCCTTTCTCTCTCCCTCTCTCTCCCTCTCTCTTTCTCTGTCGCTTTCTTTCTCTTTCGCTTTCTTTCTCTCTCGCTTTCTTTCTCTCCCCTCTCTCTTTTTTCTCAATATTTTCTTTCTCTTGCCTTCCGATTTCTATATATTTTTGATATCTATTGCAGTTCGGCTTTCTCGACATATTATTGGTTGAAAGATCATCAAGAAAAGTAACTCATCCGAACATTCCTTTTGCAAGAGAATTGCTTAAAAGCTAGAGGAGGCGTTTACATTGCGGCAGAATAAACAATGTTCTACACAAAAATAGACTGACTTATGAACCATTTTAATATGATTTTTGTTCGTTTGACTGTTTTGAAAAATATTACTTCCCTTAATTCAAGTATGATTTTTCCACTGTATCTTGAATAATCGATACCCCAGTTTAATCTTCAATAAACAGCGAAACAACACATACTTAACAAATAATATTCAATTTGATATACTTGGGTTTCAAATAATGCATGTTGACTTCCTAATAATATTAATGTATGTATGTATATGGCATTTTGGGTCTATTGTCCGACTTTGCCGACCGGTTAGCAAACGGTGTCCCCTATGCCTGGGCCTAGCTTAATTCCCACATTCAGGAGTAATGGAGTCAGGACGCATTCCCATCACTGTAACCAGCAAGCGCATTCTTCTATTGGTCTTTTGGTCGCGTTTAAATTGACATATTTGAATCTATGTTCACTTTATCAATAAGATCTACTTTCACATTATCAATAAGATCAATATCACTGATCAATAAGATAAAATATTAAAATTAATTCCTTTTTAGTAAATTGTTCAAAGCATTAGTCACTCCGACCGATAATCGATCCTAGGTCTCCTAGCCTTAATTCCTATTTACAACATGATTCGATTCTTAGAAGCAAAGGATAGAAACGAATACACCAATGTTTTTGAGATAGTTTGGAGTAAAAGTGTAGGGAGTAGTATAAAAGCTAGATGTCGTTTTAGTACATCTCATGAATACCGGTGTGCCAGCTTTGAAACACGAGAAGA